GCATCTTAAACCCTAGACTCTAGACCCTAAACCCTAAATCCTAAACCCTAAACCTTAAACCCTAAACCCTAAGCCTTAAACCCCAAACCCTAAACCCTAAGCCCTAGATCCTAAACACATAGAAGCCCAGCACCTAGGGACCCAGGTTCTGCTAAAGCCCGGGGTTTTCCAACGTCAGTCCTAGGTTTAGGGTATCGGGTTTTGGGTGTAGGGTTTAGGGCATAGGGGTTTAGGGTTTAGGGTTTAGGGTATAGAGTTTAGGGTTTAGTACTTCAGTAGGTAGACTACAACCATAGACCCCCTTCAGCCCTAAACCCTACATGAGCCCTAAACCATAAACCCCACACACTAAGCCAACCCGAAGCCCTAAACCCCATACTCTCAGCCCTGCCCCCCCAAAGCCCTAAACGCTAAGCCCTAAATCCTCAATTCTAAGCCCTACGCCCTAAGCCCTAAACTCTACGCCCTAAAACCCTCAACCTCAACTGATTTCCTTTCGAAGGTTGTCGAAGGTGAGGGCTATGAAGTGCCCAAGGATGCGATGGTTGCCAAAGAACGGGGCCCTTAGAATGAGGTTTCAGGTTTTGGGTGTAGGGATAAAATGGAAAGACAATGAGACAATGAAAATTACTATTTAGGGTTTAGGGTTTAAGATTGAGGGTTTAGGGATAAAATGGAAAAGAAAATGAAAGCTACTATTTAAGGTTTAGGGTTTAGGGTTTAGGGTTGGGGTTCGGGGAAACACTTGAAAACCAAGTGAAAAGGAACATGGAGCATGAAGCGGAAGCTGCAATTGTGTTAGGATCGCAGGATTTCTGTAGGGCAATAAGAGGCTTCTCTTGTAGAGAGTCTTAACCGTAGGGGTTGGGGCTACCAACATTCTCTTCTTGCACAGCAGGGGGAGCGATTGGACGCAATTCAAGGGTTTTGGGTGCGCAAGCTTCAAGGGTCACTGCTCGAGCTTCCAAAGGAAAATTGAGAAACTACCGTGTGAGAGTTTCTTAAACGCAGGTTTCGAGTGTAGGGTCTATTTCTGGGTTGGAAGAAAGGGGACTACATGATTTTGGGGGGTTGGTGGGACCTTCTACTTCAACAGGTAGCCAGAGTTGCAGTGTCTCCATCCATGCCCTGCCCAAAACCCTAAGCCTTGGACGATGATGAGCGCTGATTCTCGTTTTCATGAGACGCATTCACTCGCATGCCCCAGCAATGATCTAGGGTGTATAGTATAGCGTTTCGGGTTAAGGCTACTTGATTAGACAAAGAGAGTCAAACCATGGAGTCGTTGAGCGGGAAAGTGAAATCCAAACCTCCACCCTCGATCCGCAACAGAGCTGCCGGAACCGTGCGCGGCGTAGCTAAAAACAGAAGCCTCTGAAGTACGCGCCAATTCGCAGAGCGTAAACCTTCATGTTCAATGGTGATCCCTGAGCCCCGGTCGCTTCACTCCACACCATGGCCCTGAACTTCTGAACCACGATCTCGCGCAGCGAAAGCAGTCCCCAATCCCAAAGGCCATTTGCCGCAATGCCACAACCCTAATAACAGCTGCTGCTGCAGCAGCACCGCAACGGCTATCGCTATTGTTACAGCTACTCTGGACTAGTGCTGCTATTGCAAGCGTTATTGCTGCAGCTACTGCGGCTGCTACTGCTACGACTACTGCTGCTACCGACATTTCTTCTTCTAGTTCTGTATTACGCGGGGTACAAGTACTACAAGTCGTACACGTAGTGCAAGTGCTACACGTACTACAAGTACTGCAACGGCAACACGATACTGGAGCAAGGCGGAGGAGGCGCTGAAGGAGGGTTGTAACTGTAGCAGCAGCCATCCCGAAAGTTATGAATTATCAGGTACAAAACACATTTTGCAACCCGAAGGGGGATCATGGTGGGAAAAGTAGATGTTCCTAGGTGATCCGTTCTCATCCATTCCCGTGAAGCAAAAAAAACATGCTTGAACTTATGACCTATTCTCCAGAAAGGGCTTCACATGTTCCTGGAGATTGTAAGAGGGTTGAGGAATAATCCCCTCACCCAATGTGAGCAAGCATTCCCAGGTAATCCGTCCCCATCCTTCCCCTAAAAGTCCCGCAAAACACCCTCGAACATATTCGTAGATATTCTCCATAAAGGACTTTACCAAGACTTGACATGTTCATGGGCGGCTTATGAGGGTATGCGGGTGTTGAGTCATCCCCTCCCCCAATTTCAAACCCTTGCCCTGAATGAGCATTAGATATGATATTTCCATCACGGAATATTCTAACATATTGCAATATTTACTGTTTGGAGGTTTCCTGATCTTGATCGCAGGGTGAGGAGATTCTCATAGGATTACCAAGACCCGCCTCCAAATATGCACACCCCCAAAACTGATGAGGCCTGATACGCCCCAATAAGCCTTCATACGCCCTTACGAGCAGTCCCGAAAGGGGCGGGCATCTTATTGGGAGGGCCATCGTAGCCCCATCCTGACCCAAAACTAGATTCGAAAATAGTCCAAAGATCCCAAAAACTAGCCCCAAAAGGCCATTCTTCTAGACATGTTTGGGCTTCAGGATGAGTATATTGGGAGCCCTAAACCTTAAACCTTAAAGTCCAAGCCCCTATAAACTCTAAGCCCCAATACCTAAGCCCTAAACCCCCAACCCTAAAACCCTAAGCCCTAAACCCTAAGCCCCAACGGGACTTCTAGTGTACTCCAGTCCGAGTGCACTCTCAACAACAAGCTGCGAAGTTGTCTCTGCAGAACCAACAACTGGCTTTGGCGCTTCAATGTGCAAACCACGAGATACAACAACTTGCCGCTGGCCTGAGAATCACCAACCAGCAGATCCGCATCATCCAGAACGGAAGCCACCCACATTGAGGCTAAGCTCTGGTACGACCAGCCGTTTTGGGTTGACTGAGCCTTCGCAAGCAGCAGACAAGCTACAGCGATCTCGCCCTAAACCCTAAACCCCAAAAAGTATGTAAAATACTAGCCCCTAAACCAATAAGAACAGCCATAAAGGCAACTATTTCATACCTTTGGGGTCCAGGTAAAATACCCCAAGCCCTATGCCCTAAACTTAGGAGGACCCCCCATCCTGTAATAGTGGTATAAGAGGAAGATAAGAGGACCCTACTATAATCCTTATTATCCCTTATAATTAGTCACTATTACAGGGTGGGGGGTCCACCTAACCCTGAACCCTAATTAAGCCCCAGACCCTAAACCCTAACTTAGCATGCTTTGGGTGTTGCCACCAACCTCGAGGACGGCAGCCGCGTGCAACTCCGCCTCTAGGTTTCCGAGTGACATGATTTTTTGTCCTTGGGTTTAGGGTCTAGGGTGTAGGGTTGCAAAAAAAAGGGATTAGGTGTTAGGGTTTAGGATTTAGGGTGTGGGGTTGCAAAACAAGGGATTAGGTTTAAGGGTTTAGGGTGTAGGGTTGCCGAAAAAAGGGATTAGGTTCTAGGGTTTAGGATTTAGGGTGTGGGGCTGTAAAGAACGGGGTTAGGTATAAGGGTTTAGGGTTTAGGGTGTAGGGTTGCAAAAAAAAGGATTAGGTTCTAGGGTTGAGGATTTAGGGTGTGGGGTTGCAAAAACCGGGGTTAGGTTTAAGGGTTTAGGGTTTAGGGTGTAGGGTTGCAACAAAAAGGGATGAGGTTTTAGGGTTCAGGTTTTAGAGTTTAGGGATTAGGGTGTAGGGTTCTTGTTGTACTTGGGGGTGAGGGGGATTTAGTAGTGATGGACAAGAAAATGGGAACCATGTTATGCAGGGGTCAGGGTCTAGGATTCTTTTTGTACAGGTTGGGGGGGGGGATCACGGGGGGTCACGGGGATGTAGCAACCGTGGACAAAAAAATGGGAGCTACGGTGTTATGTAGTATGTAGGGCTTAGGGTCACGGGGACTCAGTAAGTAGGTTACTCATGGCTATGGCTTGGGTTAGTATATTACTTATAATTAGCAGGATTCCGAAATCCCTCCGACCCTTTCACTTGGTTTGGCTCTTGGGATTCTTGAGTAGTAGCTTGTCTCGTTCGTTGCGTAAGCACTCGCAGATCCGAACTTTTTCCAACGGGCTTAGGGTTTAGAAGCTGAAGAATTCATTAGGGCAGTTTTGCTATAACTTGCGCTCTTGCCTTTCCTAGTACTAAGATAATATAATACAAGATAATTACTCCCTATGGCCCCCTATATGCCCCCTTATATACTCTATATACCGCCCTCTTTGGAAACTCCCGTCCTTTAGTTGGCCCATTACTTGGAGGTCAAAGCGATTTTGTAAGTATACTTGTAGCCATACAAATAAACCCAATGATCCCCACCGAGCCTGAACTCTAAACCATTCATATCCCTGTATATATAAATGTATATATATATATTCACTTTCCCCCTTAAAGATATCTCCCTTAAACGCGCCTAATTATTGGCCAAACCCAGTTATTCCTCTAGGTTGCTAGGCATTCTGGTCCTTACTACTATTAGTGTCATTCTCATTGTTCCTATTGTCGCTCTTGTTACTATTGCTACTATTATAACCATACTATCCTTATTGCTACCACTCAGTATCATTGTTACTAGTGTCATTATTGTTACTATTACTACTAGTATTACTCTTAATCCCTTGTATCTACTGCTATTATGATTCTTACTATAGTTACTGTTACCCTAAACCCTCAACCCTATTAGGAATATTCATCTGAGGTGTTGAAGCAGCCGTAGACCAAGCCAAGACAGCCATACCATCTTTCCAACCGCAGGTGGGCAGGGCCTGCGAAAAGATTTTTGGGGATTTAGGGTCTAGCCTTTAGGGCGTAGGGTTTAGGGTTTAGGGTCTTCTATAATCCACTTAACAGGGGTTATGGTTAAATGAACTATAGTCTAAACTCCTTAAGAGGGGGGTATATGGGGGATCCTACAGATGATTATTATGGGGGGGGTTATGTAGGGCGATACTAGGAGTTTAGACTATGGGTTATATGTGTGTGAGGGATTCTGAGGATCAATAGAGTTTGAGGTTAAGGCATAATCTTGTCACACTTGTAATTCAGTTTCTGACCCCACAAGAACGAGAATCTCCCCATATAGTGGCACCATAGGTAGTTATTACGGGGGTGGTGGGCGGGGGCTTAGTACCTGCGTGAGGGGATTATGATTCAGCATTTAGGGTTTTACGGGTCACTGTTGAATGCACTTGTTAAATCTTTGTGACGATGTTTTTTTTGCCTAAGGAGGAGTGTAAATGCAACATTCTGTCAAAAGCTACCCCGCTAAGAACCCAGCCTGAGGATTGGAATTTCGGGTCGCGGGCTGTCAGGATTTGATCCTGGCTTTGGGGGTGTGAGGGTTAGTGGCTTTAAAGTTTGGGGGGGGCAGGAACCCATTAACCCTAAACCTTGGACAAAGCACTGACATTCATCCCCAAGCGCTGCTAATGAAGAGAACCGCAAAAGGGTCCATACAGCTCTTTAGTATGTACCTGGGCACTAACAAAAGGTAGTAGCTCTGGGGACCTTCTAAACCTTATAGTTTCCCTTAAGTAGATAGAATATGAGATATATGGGTTTTTATCTACTTGAGGGAAACTATAAGTATATTCGATATGCCTACATGCTTTTTTTGATCCTCTGAGGTCGTGTAGATTGCGCAGCAGAGAGGGACGGTTCAAATGGACGAGCTGATCGGATTTAGGGGTTTTCGATTTGTTGGTTTTAGGGGTTGACGGGTTTGGGTTTAAGGGGTTTGGGATTTAGGGGGTTTGGCTTTTAGGGGCTTGGGATTCAGGCCCAGGGGCCTACAGCCCCAGTGCAGCACACTTGTTTGGGGTTTCAGCCCTCACTGACTATGACCTATGGTGGCCATGGTTGCGAATTCGATTTTGTCCTACTCCAGTCACCCTCCATCTATTGACCTAGAAAGATGAAGCTGAACATCTAGAAGCACTAAGCCCTGAACCCTCCGTTCACCACTTAGCACGTGCATACAAGCGACACCCCAATCTGAAACCCAAGCCTGCCTTTGGAAAGTGGATCAGAAAGGCCTGCCCTAGACACCTTGGGGATTACAGAGGCTATGGATGGACTGCGGCTACCATTTCTACCGTCAAATACCGTGATCTTCAGATCTCCAAAGCAGGGACCCTGACTTTGGAAATCTCCATACATGCAATTGTTGATAAAAAAAAACCCTGAACCCTAGACCCATCCAACTTCTGGAGGTGTTAGAGTTCGTGGCTGGCGACGGCGAGGTTGCGGATGCTTTAGAGCTCTGCGTTGCGGAAATGAAGAAGGGCGAGAAGGCATTGGGTGCGACAACTCTCCCATTCCCCCTTGAGCTTTAGGGTTTACCTCCCGCCCTTGGTTCAAGCCTAGTGTGAGCTCGCTAGTGCACCCGCATGAGCTGGTGAAATGAACAGCTCTTTCCCAGCAGAGGCGGCTGGATGCAAAAAGCCCTGCCCTTCCCCACCCGAGAGCCTTTGGAGTCTTCCTATATCTCAGGACAACCAGTCTCTCTAGAGTTACATACGGACGAATCACTTCTAACTAGTATAAACGCCCCCCATTCCCTGATAATAAATCTGTCCACAAAATGCAAGGGCTCTTCTGGGTAATTTTCAAAGTCAGGGAGTGGGGGGGTCTTCAAGATTAGTGCGAAGGCTTCAAAAATCTTACGCGTGCATTTCGCAAAATTGTAAAGCCCTAATCCATGGGGAGTTTCTGGTAGCATGAACAGCTCTAACGATGCACGGCACGGTTCAAATTCTGTAGTCTAGTGAAGACTTTAGCTTGTGAAATCTAGAAGTTTAAATAGCTACCAATATTGGGGACTTCGATTCCTTGTAGAATTACAGTAAGGTTCTAATGGCCAGGCTAGAAAAGGAGATCTCAAAGTCTGCGCAAACACCAAGGGTTTAGGGTTTAGGGTACAATCACCATAGCAGAGGCATCCTGCTTGCAGGGTTCTCAAAGAGTGGCGTCCTCGCGGCCCCAGCCCACGCTCAAAACCCGCAAATCTGGAACCCCCCCCCAAGCCCCAAACCCTCAATCCCCTAACTTTTTTTCCCCTAAATCCCAGATATCCTTATGATCCCTAGATATCTCCAGATAACCCCTACACAAGCCCGTTTGATAGACCCACCCTTTGCAACCCGAAAGGCCATCCTCAGGGTAGTGCGGCCAGAGACTGCCCAAGAGCAGCGCTTGGGCTTCTTGGCCGCTATCTATAGGGCTTAGATGTAGGGTTTAGGTGTTTAGGTGTTTAGGGGTTTAGGGTTTAGGGTTATGGTGTACGGTTGAGGGTTTAGGGCGTAGAGAGAACCGTGTGACACAACCACAAAGCATTGTCGTGGCTTCAGGTATTCTATGTACAACCTCATGCCTCAGCTTGTGCTCGCACCTGCTCCGTGTAGATCCCATATTGCACGCAAGTATTGGGTTCTCTGCTGTCGTGTCTTTGCATGGCTGAGGGTTTTGGGCTCAAGGGATCTGTGGGGATTTCCCAAAATTAGGACGGTTCTATTGGGATATGTTCAATAATGGAGAACCAACATGGAAAATGACATGGGAACTTAGCAGATAAAGCTTTGACCAGGATTGTAGCATTTCGCGGTCTATATTGAGTCCCCCCTGCTTATGGAAACAGAAGGGCTCTGGGTTTGGGATATTGGCCGAGACTACGTAAAGGGGCCGAAGATATGGAGTTAATGTAAGGACTAAGAAAGTTACTGTAGGATGGGGCTTTTGAGAGTACTAGCTCACTTTTATATAAGGGTTATAACTCCTCGGCCCCCACTGACTCCAATGCCTTAACCTTAACTAAGGCAGTGGTGTCCCTTGTCTTTTCCATTCAGTACTACGCCCCACTGACCCAAACCCCTAAATCCTAAACTCTGAGGCCTAGGGACCGCCGTAGGCCGTAGTTTCGCTTTTCTGCTCCATGCTAGGGTTTAGGGTTTAGGGTTTAGGGACTTAGTGCCCTGATCCTCCAAGCAGCTTATACCTCACCCACACGGCGGATCATCTCTGCCAATGTTTTCGGGAACCAGGGACGTGGGTAACCTGGTCCGTAGTGAAATTTGAGGGACATAGGGTTTAGGGATTTGAGATCCAGGGATTGAACCCTAAACCCAAACCCAGGGTTTAGGGATTGGGGTCCAGGGATTGAGGGCTTTGGGACTGATTCTATGGATTCATCAAGTTGCTCCTTTCTCATCAGCGTGCAATGTGTGGCCTAATTTTTAGCGGTGCGGTTTAGGGTTGAGGGTTTAGGGTAAGAAGCTAAAGACTTTTGACTGTGGGTCCTCCAGCCGTCACTGTGGAACCCAGCATGCTAAGCTGTAAGCACTTGCCAGCGCTAGCCAGAAAGATAGGAGAGTTCCACAGCATGGGGGCATCCCAAAAATTAGAGGTACCTTTTTGGGGTGTAAATTGGGGTACATTATTTTGGGAAACAACCACATTATCCCTGCATAGTCATCAGGTTCAGGGCGATGCATAATCCGTATAATTCCCACATATCCTTACAGTCCCTCTACATATTTCTTTAGCCGCTTTGCAAGGGACCTCGAGGCACCTTAAATAACCGTTTTGAGGGCCCCCAGCCAGTAACCCTAAACCGTCCTAAACCTTAATCGCCACACCTTAAATCCTATACCTTAAACTCAAACCACCGCACCCTAAACCCTATACCCTGAACCCCAAACGCCACCCCCTAAACCCTAAATCAAGAACAACAAGTGGTAGTTTCCCAAAATAGGGGACCCCACTATAGACCCCCAAATACTTTAATCCTTATTATGGGGACCCCTAAAAAAATACCCTAATTTTGGGGAACCCCCAAGTAGAGGCTTGGAGAACCTGGCACCTTGGCGGCATCCGGCACGCTTGCGCAGTTTGATCCAGACAAGACGTGTTTAGGGTTTAGGGTTTAGGGTAGGTGGGGGATTGTCAAAATTACGGTCCCTTTTGGGGTCCCTCTATAATACGGGGCCTAATTTAGGGGACCCAATAAGGGGACCATAATTTTGACAATCCCCCAGGTACAGTAGTGACATTTTTCCCTTTTAATTGTGGGTCTCCTGGTTCAGTTTGCAGGGTACCCTTATTATTGAGGGGTTACTGCGGAACCTAGTACTGCAGATGCCCTTTAACAGATTCCCTGCTTGTGTGGTTGGATTCTGATTATATCTTGGAGGGAAGTTGGTGGGCCATGGCAGGGATACATAAGGTAAGCAAGTATGGGTATTAGGGTTTAGGGTCTAGGGTCTTGTTTCTTCTGAACATGGACAGCTCTTATGATACTAGAACGAGGGACGATTGATTGTTAGGCGGTGAGAGGGGAGGGGGCTATAAAAAGAAGAGCGGAGTTATCAAGATCATGTCGAACCACTCAAAGTTGCTTGAGCGTTCGGATTCAGGGCTTGACTTAGAGCTTTCAGCAGGCAGTGCCGATGTCATGGGTTTACGGCAAAGGGTTTAGCAGGGTGTTGCGCTTTGGGTCTAGATTGTCGGGGTTGCCCTCATGATAGTGCACAAGAATACCCCCAACCATGAGGGGAACCAAAAGTTCATGGCAAAGCATCGCGGGGCCAGCTGAGAGCTGAAGAACAAAGCCGCTAACCAATCTCAACAGCAAATTTCGGTGGGCTTACCTTAGCCACGAAACCCTAGAAACTATCCCCAGACCCTCACCAAGACCCTGTCCTGAAGCCTGAGCGCAACAACAACAACAACAACCGCAGCAACAACATCAGCAACAACAACAACAACAACAACAACTGCAACAACTGCAACAACAACTGAACACAGCGGCTCCGATGGGGTTCGCCAGCAGCCCAGGATTCCAGTGAACTCCTGCTGACGCTGGCAGGGAGGGGAGTTGTGGGGTGACGAGCTGGGGTTGAATCGCAGAGGTGTATATATTAGGTGGACCCCCCACCCATATAGGGGTTATATAGGGATTCTAGGGTGTATATTGGGGTTATATAGGGAATAATGGAAAAGAAAATGGAAGCTACTATTTAGGGTTTAGGGTTTAGGTGGACCCCCCCACCCAGTAATAGTGACTATAAGGGATAATAGGGGATATATTAGGGGCCTCGTATATTCTTATTATACCACTATTACAAGGTGGGGGGTCCTCCTACGCTATCTAATATGGTAGCCCCATGGGTACTATCATTACACATGATTGCCATTGTCATTATTATTACTATTACTTCCCTGCTATTTCTATGGCTGTTTTTGTCATCATTACTATTATCATTGTTCCCGCTATTGTCATCATCATTATGAAGTTTTCCATCAGTTACCACAGTGCATTTGTGGGAGGGAGCACTTGATGTTGCAGGCACCCAGTTTCTCCAAGTTGCAGGTTTGTTGGAACCTTAAACCCTAGACCACTACACAGTGGATGACCGCTTCTGTTCTTCTACGACCCTTTATTGCGCGCAGCCCAGCAGCCTATTGTTTACTCACTTGTCCACGAGGTCTTCAATGGATAGGCGGCTGCTCCCAAGACCCCCCAAAATGCCGATGAAACCCATAACTAGCCCTGGCCTCGCAACATCCTATGGCCTATAACCCTGTAATCCTGATCCCTTAATCCCTTGTACCCCATGGGCACACAACTTTTCATTAAAACTCCAAGCCATACACTTATAGCCCAAAATCCCCGAAGATTGACACCCTCCAAGCCTGGACAGTCGCTCCCTAGTTAAGTAGAGACAACGCCAAGCTTACTTTAGGTTTCAGGGTTTAGGGCTACCTAGCTCCTAAACCCCATGAACTTCCTACATCATCTCCCATTCCATATTCCATGGGTTCTTCCGTTTGATTCTCCATTGTATTCCCATATAAACTCAACCCTAGGGCTCGAGGATCTTAGGGGGCTTCGAGCCCTAAACCCTAAACCCAATGGGGCCCCAAGTCCTAAACCCTAAAATCCTGCAAGGTCTTAGAAGTCTTTGAGCCCTAAGCCCTAAACACAATTGGGCACCAAACCCCACAACCCTGGGAGGTTTTAGAGGACTTTGAGCCTGCAAAGCATGCCTTCAGCTTGTCCACCGAAGAGTGGCTTCGGCTGAATGCACGATTTCTTGGGGGTTTAGGGATGTATGTATCCCTGATCGATGCACAGGGCTCTGTTTTTGGAGTGTACGTTCTGCTCGGGATTCTTTTATGTGTCTAGGGTTTTGAAGGCTTAAGACGCATGATGTTGTTCGTTTAGGGTTTAAACGACGTTGTTCGTCTAGGGTTTAAACATTTAAGGTTGGGTGAATCTAGCTGGAGGTCTCTTGAC